ACTGTTCTTTTTTCCCACCCACCCCCCACCCCCTCCATTATACTATTCTGCCTAGAATTTGGGGAAACTTCAATTTTTAGGAAGAGCAGTGCTTTAAAATAATCAATATGCTTGCTGTTCCCAAGAGCAAACAGGAAGCAATTCATGTAGATGATTCCCTAACCATGGTTAGGAATTTGGGGGGCCAATCCACCAGAGGGTCACATTCCTCTTTCTACTTGTATATCCACCTTTTCTCCTGCATCTTCTGAAAAATGGAAATATGTTAATTACAGTACAGCAATGCTCCGTTATTCAATCAGAGCATTGACATATAAAGAAAAGAATTTAGTTACTTCAAATACTTTTGCAAATGCAGAAGCTTTATTTCCTACTCATGAGTCAAACCCACCTTCCCTCCCTCCCTCCCTCCCTCCTTCGTTCCCCCCACCCCCTCAATCTCTCTCTCTTTTTAACAAGCTCTTTCATGGAAGACAAGCAAGGATACAAAAATAAAATTCAAGAGAGCCGAAGATGCCCTAGCAAGACACCTCTTAAACTTCAAACTTTGTTAATAGACAGGCCACTTTTGCTTAGGCTTCAGAAAACATTTAGAGAAAGTTAAAAAAAAACCTTAAATAATTTAAACAAATCACAACACACAAAGCATGATTATGTAGGGTGGAGAACTATCAGAATTATCAGAAAATTCATCAGAGGGCCATGAAAGCAAAATTACCAGATTTTCAAAAAATGGAGGAGATTTAATATATGTGGATTTTGGATTCCAAACATATAGTTTGTCTGATGGGACATCTAAGTCATTCCAGGATTTGTTTACTGTCTGAAAAATAAGAAAAAAAAATTAGGATACAAACATAGCAAATATAGACATTGTAAATCCATCTCTCTCCAGCCTATGGATAAACAGACAGGCAATGTCAGAAAAGGTTCCTTTTGATCCAGAAACACATGAAAACAAATGCAGGTTTATGTTTATTGTTCGCTTTCTGAACTAAAGCCTCAGAACTCACAACTCAAAGTCTGGCTGACCTGGTTAAGTTTGAGACCAGAAGAACCAAGGCAGGATGCCCACTTAGAACGCTCCTTCTCTGAGATGGTTTCCAAATGATTCCATACCTTCCAACAAGGTTTAAACAGTTCATCAAAGTTTGGCCAATCCCACATTGGCCTTCTGGCGATTTTCTACTAGAATACCATTACCTCATCCAGCTCACATGGGAACTAGCTTTTGTTTTTGGGAAATCTCTATGATGTCAACTGAAATTTAAGTTCCACTTAACAAGAAGCTTAGCCAAAGCAAATGTAACATCGGTTGAAGGCTTTCTGAGCAAATGCAGGAAAGCGCGATTTAATACCAAGTATTACCTCTATTTTCTGGTAGACCTCTTTAAACATTCCTGGAATTACATATTGGCGTTCAATGGCTTGGATCTCATCTCTCATAGGCCAAATGTCCTTCAGAAAGATCTTCTTTCCTTGTGCATTTACACCTGCAATTAATGGAACACTGGCTTTAAACAGGGACAGGGACCCCTTGGACTGCTACCTTGTCCTCCACAGAGGCAGTGATCTGAACTAGATTTCATTTGCTATAACCAGATCGATCCTTTCTCCATGAACATAAAGACTATATGCATATGATGCTTCTTGGATACAGGGAAATATGGAAAATAGTCTTTTATGATCTCACACCCCAATATGCACACATCCACACACACACAAACACATTTGGTTTCGATTCTCACTTATTTGAAGTCGACCCCTTCAAAAGGCCAAATAGTTTGCAAATGATGCCTTACCTAGAGGATCTTTTTCAAAGTCAATCCTTATGGTCCCTGCAATAGCATAGGCTATTACCAATGGAGGGGAGGCCAAATAATTGGCACGTGTGTTCGGGTGGACACGGCCTTCAAAGTTCCTGTTTCCAGACAGCACACCTACAGCTACTAGGTCTCCCTGCAAGAATACCATCCATATTGAAAAAGAGAATAGTTTCTATTTGTTCACATCATCAAGGTCCACGTACAAGTGACATGAAATCTCGCTCCCCCCCCCCACAGTTAAAGACTGTAGAAAACATCCACTTATTAATATTGAATGAAAATGGGAAATGGGCTACCAATTTCCCAGTGTTACTTTTCCTATACTCTAAGAGCAAGGAATTCTTTTAAAGAGGTGTTTTTCAAACTTGGCAACTTTAAGATGTGCCAACTTTAACTCCCAGAATTCCCCAGCCAGAACATGAAAGTTACCAAGTTCGAAAAACACCGTTTTAAAGAAACCCATTTCTATATTGCTACAGCCATTAAACTGTGCAGAGAAAGGGCATGATAACCCTCATTAAACAATGCACTGACAAAGTCAGATCAATGTAAAATAAGCAAAGGAACAGTATTTTTTATTTATTTTATTTATATTTCAGATTTGGTTACTGCCCATCTCACTAGGAAGTATACTAAAACATGTAGAGCGTTTCGCTTCTAGAAGCAATAAGCATTCTGTTTTCTGCAAATTCCGAGTTTTCATACACATTTCCACTGTCTGTCTGCAAATCTGGCCATACCCATCCAATTTTGCTTGGTTCTGATTGTTTGTATGCAAAATTGCAACAACACAGGACAAAAACTCAGCAGTACCTGAGTAATGGCTTCAACAACAGATTCTGGCAGAGGCCCACTATTACCAATGCATGTCATGCACCCATAGCCAACCACATCAAACCTGCGGAGAGCATGAAAGTAAGTATATTATCAATGGACATTTAGCAGGAAAGAAAGGATCAAACAATTGCATTTCTATTGTTTCCCAGATCATGTAATAAATTCAGAATGATGGTGATGATGGAACATTCTTCCAACTAGGCCAGGAAGCTTTGCATTGTCTGATTCTGTGAAGGGAACAATGGGAGGGTGGAAAACTATTTAGATATATTGTGTCAAATGTTTCTAAGGGTGAAATCATAACCTCCTCTCACACTCATTCTCAGGCCTTTCAGAAGGGATGGTCTTTGTAAAACTGTTTGTAGACTAGCTGCTTCAGATCAAGGATAGAAAAAAAAATTGACTGAGCATAAAAGGAGTTTTCCAGGCTAACCTTCTTTCTGGCATATCAATTTATAAGCAGAGTGGGATAGGTATTCGGACTGTTGTTTAGAAAAGATATTATTAAATCTTTAGATAAACATTAAATTATTGTAGGTCACTGTACAAGAATCACTTGTACAGTGAGATGGGTGGCATATATAAATTTGAAAAATAAATAAATAAAATAAACATTAAATTATACAATCCTCACCCATCATGAGATACTTTATCCCCTTATTTTGGTTAAGTTGGGCTTTGTCCTGCATGCGTCTCAATATTACATAAATATGGTGCTTTCTGATACAAATTTAGATGGAAAGTAGGTGAATCACCCTACCCTGAATCACCCCAAAGTTCATTTTTCTTTCTGTTTATTAAGGAATTAAAGTGGTGGCAAATCTCTTCCGCTTCCCACGCAGTCTGTAATCCAGTGAACAATTCTTGCATATACAACATTCTCATGCTAGCTGCATGCAACTGTCTTCTTAACCTTCAGGCTCAATGAGGTCTACAATACCATAGGCCTAACATATTCTCTACTCAGTTTATACTCTCCCATCTTCAGCTGAATGCATTGATTGGGTCTATATAGAACCATACAATCAGTGATTTTTTTAAGGCCATGTAGGTCTTCTGATTCAACAGCCAAAAAGGTGTTTTAGAGCACACAAGATCACTCACACAGCACTTTTCTGCAACTTCTCAAAGCAGATGCAGCCTGAACTGAGAAGACATGACTAGTTTCAAGAGTTGTGGATAAATACTGTAACTGCAACTCTACATGCTCTGGAGTTGCTCTTTGCCTTCAAATCCAAAGTGCTAAACAACCCTAGTAATTTTGCAGCACATATAGTTGCAACTGCTATATTTTCCTTAGGTTCTTTAAGACAATATATTCCTTACTCTCTAGTTATAGCTACTTGATTAAACAAATGATTCTTTGTAATCAGGAATCTATCTTTGAGATTAAAAGTACAAATGAAAGTTTCTATTCAGACAAAAAGAAAAAAGAAAGAAATAGAAAGAAGGTCTTACCCTAGTTGAGCAAGGTAAGGCATCACTCCACTCTCCCTTAAATAGTATGTGACTACTCCACTTCCTGGAGACAGGCTAGTTTTAATGTATGGTTTCACTGTCAACCCGGCTTCTACAGCTTTCTTTGCAAGCAAACCTGCATAAAGAGTCATACATCTTATGTACCCGAACCCATAAACCTTATTTAGCCTACTTCAGAATATTTACACAGCTGGCACACTGCTACTCAACCTGCCTCCAAAAATCTCAGATATCTTCTTTCCTGCCTTGGAAATAGCAGGGAAATCCAGAATGTAAGGCCTCTATTTCCCACAGTTACGGTGGTCCTGTTCTTAAGAGAGCTCAGCCACTTGCTGCCTTCTTGCAACAGTGAGAGGCCAAGCAACCGCCATGTTTCTCAGGATAACTAAATGGAATACCACTCCAACAATGTGCCTCTGTGACTTATGGCCCAAGTCACTGAAAAACAAAAATGACTATAACTCAGTCTCTGAGTTCCAGGTAGAAATGCAGTGCTTTTACAGAGACAGACTCCAAGAGATCCTGGTGAAACACAACTGTGCATTTCCATGGAAGCTGTACTGCATTCAGATATAATAATATGAAAAATCAGGAAGAAATAAAAGGGCAAGGAACAGCCTCTTCTCCACCAGTTTTCAGCTGATTTTAATATATATTCCCTATCTCCAGAGAATTCTGGAATTCAATTTCTGTGGAGGGAAGTCCAAGAACCTTTAAAACAGTTTGCTATCAACGAAATTCTTAGAGGTTTGTGGGGTAAATATGCAACATATGTCTTTAGTTAACTGGTGTCCTAAATGACTACTTACCAGCTCCAAGCATCACAGAAGGATTACTGGTGTTGGTACAACTAGTAATAGCAGCAATCACAACTGAACCATGTGTAAGTTCAAACTCCTTATCACTATAAACAAACTTGACATGGTGGTTGTGATGTTCAGGGGCAACCTGAAAGCCTTTAAATCCTTGCTGCAAATAGGAATAAACAAGAAAAACATATTTTTTAATTTTGGTAACAAATGCTCAGACAGAGAAAAAATGTATTTCTAAAACTGAGACATCAGAGAAAGGTATCTAGCGGTTTGCATGGAAACTGAAGACCTGCCACAAAATATTGCAGTGCAGCTGATCCTTATCAGTATTCCACCCAGCATACTCTATTCCATTCTATCACTCCTCAGTTTCCTGTAATTTCCTTCCCATTGTCAGCTGGTTTTCCACGTCAACCAATTTTGGGTTATTATCATCATCATCATAAAAATTCTGGAAGCTTTACGGTTCTCTTGAACATGCTGACATATTCCTCTTGTTTGTGGATAGTTGGAGTAACTGCATTAATTGCCTTTGATGAATTTTAAACATATTTAAATAAAATAAATCAGTTCACTCTTTCTCCCAGCTCCATCTTTTTTTTGAGAAGGTGGCCCCCTGGTACGTCGTTCAAAGCCAGGTGCAGCTCAAGGATATATGATATTCTATCACATAGCCAAACACTCTGTATAAATGCTGGTGAGAAGAGAAACATTTTATAGCATCTTCCTCCACCAGGCCAGGTATAGGAATGTTGGAATTAGAAATTTTGCAAAAGTCTTAGCAGAATTTAGTGAAACTTTCAGTCTTCTAGCTGAAGTTTGACTCCAACCCTCATTAACCTCAGCCCTGGTCAATAATCAAGGATGAGGAAAGCTGCAGTCTCAGTCTGGAGGATCCTTTATTTCATGTTGCACTTTGGGTATGGTCACTGCAGTCTAAGTATAATGTTGTATCTACTGACTTCAAAATGGTTCAGTCTTTGGCTGATGAAATGCCACACTTATCAGCATCCTTTTGGCCACAAAACCCTTTATTTTGCACAATAAAATTATTAAAATTCTCTCTTTGAAATTTATGCACAAATTTACTGGTTTCACTAGTAAAAGAAAACATGACATTATCCTAAAGAATCAAACTAAGGCCTGGATAGCAGGGGAGGAAATGAATTTCTATCAGCCACCAAAGAATTCTATCATGAATGCATATTGGGCTGTGAAAGAATATATTTTTATGTTTAAGTCTAATCTACAAGCATAGGAGATTTTCCACAAATGAGAGATATACTTTACTAGCCTCAGAAAAGCCAAGGTATCTCCTATAAATTAATTATAAATTAATAAACATATAAGAAGGAAGATCACATGCCATACAAAACGGGTATCTTTTAAATAGAAAATTACATCACCTTTGCTCCCAAGCAGGTCTCAAAATCCTTCTTCATGTCAGAGACAGCAACCTTGTCCTGTGGTCTTTTAGGGCCACTGCAACACGGCACAACCGTTTGCAGATCCAGTTCTACAATCTAGTGAAAAGAAAGGAAGCAGGAAGAAAGAGGAACAGAGAGATGCTAGCTTTCTTGAAATTGCCACCTTATATATTTATATGTTCTGTGTAATTTCTCCCACCTAGTACCCCTACAAATATGCTGGATTATTACAGCCACATCCACTAGGAATTAAGAGCTGTAGTTCAGCATGCCTGTCCCAAATGGGGGCAAGCTGCATTTGGAGGGCTTCTGGTGGAGACAAAATATTCAGTGAGATGTGTGTTCCAACCAGCAAGGATAATTCTGACAGAATTGGGGAACTGTAGCCCTTCACCTTGGAGAGATGTTGTGTAAAGAGGTCTGTTGCTTCTCACAGTTTGTAATGATAGTTTACCATTCACAGTGAGATGGGCGGTGACAAATTTGGAATATAAATAAATAAATAAAATAAATTCATCAAAAAGCTGGGAGGGCTATTTTATTGCAAAGTACAAATAGAGTCAAATCCTCAAGATTAATAGCACGATGTTGGGGGATGATTCCAAGACAGGCCTGCACCAACTTGAATTCAACCCACGAGCTTCATTGTGTGGCCCACCAAGATTCTTGATAATCCTCCCTATTTCTGAAATCCCAGCCATGAAGCATAAATAGAGGGTTTCTAAAGTCCTTCCTTGGTGGTCTGCCATAGGTAGGTGGTGGGCTGAAACTGATTTGGCAGATCCTCAATTGGGCCTGTGCTGACTTGTTTCAGGGGTTTCAGAAGAATTTTAAAGTAAGGAATTAGACACAGAAACCTTGAGGTTATCCACATTTTGCTTCCACCAAGTCAAAGTACTTAAGGCCAGCCAACTGACTTTGGCAGAAAATCCAACAAAGCCTTCTCTCTCCCATGTCAATAAAAATGTAATTAGATGCCACAAGACTCTGCCTATTAGGCCCAATTCTGTGACCATCCAGTAATTTCAATAATTCTAAAAACATTACATCTTTTTAGACATCTTTAATTTAACTATTATACTCATTAGGGGCTTTTTGGTTCTTATCTTCTGCAGTAGTTTTGTGACCAGCTTCTATGTTTTCAGTTAACAGAAGATGCAGGATCATTTCTTGAGATCATTTCCTGAGGGGCTTGAATGTTCCTTTGAGGAAAATACAAATTTAAGAAAAGGTACCTGAGTAAAATCTGGATCCTGAGATGAGTTATTGAAATCTCTGAACATTCCTGTAGCCTCAAGGTATTTTCTTATATGCTTAATCTTTTCTTGATCACGGCCTAAAATGGACAAAAATAGCAACTCAGTGAATTTGCAAACACATAGGAGGACCATTTCTTATGGAACAGCAAATCTAAAATGCTATATAGAATTTCAGAAAATCTCCAGTATTACCACAAACATACAATATTGGGTACTAGTTTAGTGTACACATTAAGAGCCTGATTGTAAAGTTATTACCAAACTTTAAAAATGAAGTATGTAAATGTGTCTGAATCATCATACTGGCACTTGCAATGTATGCTTATACAGTTAATTTTTCAGGTAACAGGGCAGATGTTTTGGGTATAATTGGAAGTGTACTAAATACGTGATGAGAATTTGTATGCGATTTACCATTTGTATACTCAATAGTATCTGAAATGCATACTATCTATATGTAAATGTACATGTAATATTCCTGAAACTATTATTTGAGCTAATTATCCACAAGTCAATTGCTTGAATTAATAAGTTTGTTCTTTACTAACTTTAACTTTTAGGATGACACACTTATTGGTTGTGAAACCAGAATATCAGATAAGAAAACTGGTTGCATCATTGACCTATTAAATAAATACACTAAAGGGTAAGAATTTGTCTGGATAACCATGCTTGAACAACCACCACTTGAGCAGGACCTGTATTTTATATGTGGCTAAAAGTGTGATTTTTAATTGCCTTAACCAATGTGAGCTACCTTATCAGATCACACACTGACTAAAGCATACTACACAAATCTCCAATAATTTATTTTCTCGAAAGGCACATAAAGCAAAAAATATTGTTCTAATTCAGATGCAAGAAACCATAGTTTACTACTGAAAATACAGCAAATACAAGCTCAGAACTATCTTCAGGTCCCTTCTACTTACATACATGGGGGTGGGGGGAGAAGAGAGAAGCTTTCTGTTATGGATTGCTACAAACCACTTTTTCCCATTTCGTATGAATTACGCGAAACTATGGGCACAGATGAGTTTGCTGAGGAAGCAGGACAAACTACATTTGTGACAAACCACAAGTGGAATCTTTACATCAAGTCTGATCTCATTTCTCCCACTCATGTGAAAAGGGATGGGAGGGTAGAAGTGCACCAGTATCTTCTACTTGAAACTGCCACACTGGTGTAACTCAGACCCTTCTCCCTGCCTTTTGGGGTTAAGGGGTACATTTAGAATGTGGATGTCTGCTGTGGCTTCCACAGGGAGCTTCTGTTTTCACGATGACTGCCGCAGTGGCTATCTCTAGTTACAGAACACCCATCTCGCTACACTTCCCCTGGTTCCCCAGGATACTTTCCATAGTTCCACCTTTCCTCTGTATTTTTTATCACAAGGGATACCTAAATGGCCGGTAACTGCATTGCTTAAAATAACAGTGACATCGTGTCCTGTGTTCCATGTTGCATCACGCCAGCTTTCCATTCCATTTTTAAAACTGCATTAGAATTGAAATAAGATTTTAAAAGTCGAGGAATCTCGAGAGGTGCCAAAAGTGGTGCTACATTGCTTCCCACAGACACTGTATTGGTTTAAATGGGCTGGAATTAAAGCAGGCACCTATCTCTATCTGAACTGACAAACCCTTACTCTCTATTTCAGAAATCCAGCTTTTACATGTTGTCTTCTCTCTACTCACCGGTTTGAACTAAGTATTTGATGCTAACTTCATCAACTGGGAAGAAGGCTGCAGTTGCTCCATACTCTGGGCACATATTGGCAATGGTGGCTCGATCAGCAATGGACAGCTGAGCAACGCCAGGTCCAAAGAACTCGACAAATTTGCCCACAACTCCTACTTGGCGTAAATGCTGCAATACATTTAAGTTTGCACTCAGTTCCATTTTCGTAGCGTGAATCCAGACATAGCTGAGCACTGAGCTTTGATAAATGAGAATCTGAGGTTCCATCTAAATGAAGCAATGGTTGGTACCCAATCTAAAACCTATTTATGATGCAATAGGTTCCATTGATTCCAATAATTCTTCTGGGTAAGTATAACTGCATTACACTTTAAAAATATGGCATAAAACTTTATGTTGGAAGTTTTCAGTTAAAATCCCTCTGAATGTAAGTTGCAGACTGGTATCCTCCCCATAACCACAAATCCAACTACCCCCAGCTTGCATTGGCTGCCTCAATCAACTTAATGTTGGTTGAGTTCTATTTTTATGCCTCTTGGAAGCCCTTTAAAGTTTGTTGAAAACTGGTAATAAAGTTTCCTGCCATTTTGAACTGGGAAACAAATACTGTTTGTTCTCATTAAAATAAGTATATCACAATTAAAAATCCCACAATCCTGGCCCACACATATCTAATATGGGCTGACCTACTTTGTGGTCCTCAGTCTCCCTGTATTAAGAGAAGCCCTTATCACCAAAAGGTTAAATGCTATTGAAGTTTCACTATTAATTCAGTACTTCTGACTGAAACCACGTTTTAGTGCTTAGAACAGTGACCACTAAGTGACTGTATTGATTATATTAAATTGGAATCAAGGCTCCCAGAAATAGAGTTCAAACTCTTAGCCACGCCACTGGATGTAGAGCACTTAAACTCCTACCCTATATCTATTAGTATGCAGATTTCTGGGATTAATTAAGCAACAGCTTTGTATCAAGATCAGCTGAGGTCAAGCAAGCAAGTTATTACCTTGGTAACTGTGAGCACTATATCTGTGGATGTGACCAATGGCTGAGGAGTACCGCTCAATTTGTAGCCAATCACTTCAGGAAGCACCATACTGATCGGTTGGCCCAGCATCACTGCTTCGGCTTCAATACCACCCACACCTGATCAATGAAGGAAAAAAAGAGAGAAGAGAAAGAGAGAAAGAAAGAAATGTATTAAATATAATTGCTAATTTATCTTGTAGCAAAGTCCATTAACCCCTAAGAAAAACAAGACTGAAGTAACAATATTATTGAGGGGAAGATGAAAACAATACTTATCCACCTAAAATAAAGGTTTTGCATATATACTTGACCCTTTACATATTTCAGAAATGTAACTTCCAATTCAGCAAATAATGTGGTAGGATAAAAAATATCAAAAGAGCATTGTTAGATCAAAACAATGGCCTATGTACGTTAGGTTTTGTTCCCACAGTGCCCAAGCAGATGCCAACAGGAAGGCCCAAGTAGAACAGTTGTGCAATAGTACATTCCCTGCTCAAGTTCCCCAAGGAAATAACACTGGCCTGAGAAGTTGCAAGGGCCATCAGTTTCACAGTTTATCTGCAGATTGGTAAAACTTTATCTGCAGTTTTACCAATCTGCAGATAAAGTTAAGCTGAGTGTAGTGCCCCTTGTTTAAGAAGCATGTACATGCTAAACATATGGTACAGTTTTGCGATAAAAGCTCTTCTGTAAGGATCAAACATATAAACTCTTTAGCACATGAACCTGTTCTCTTGCATTCTGCAAATCACCATGCATGCAAATTCTTTTTCCCCCTTTCCATAGGCATTTAAAATACAATTAAACTAAAAATAATAGAACAAAGCATTTAAGCAAAATGCAAAGGATTCAAGGTGCTTAAAAACAAGAAGTAGAAGAACTGTAAACACATGACTATCATAAAAAAATAGCAGCCCTGCATTTAATGCCTCTTTCCCTGGGTTAGATCCAATGCATCTTCTTATATTCATAAAGCCCCAAAGCACAAACACTTGCCAATGAATTGAAAGGAAAGGGAATCCCTGAACATCATGACATCATGCAGCACACTTGTTTTATTCAGTTAGTGGAACAGCATGCATGCATCTCTTCATCAAATTTAGTTCAACCCTGGATCTAGTTTTTTTCTTCCTGTTCCCAAAGGAAAACAAGTCTATGTTTACCACAGTGTCTTCTCAATTTTAAAGAAATGCACCACACTACATTCCTTTCCACACTACAGGCCCTTCCCCACCTGTATCTAACCATGCCACAAACATGTCTTGGCAACATTTTTTTTTCCTGTGCCCCTCATACATTGCCTTGAGCTAGTTTCCAGATGGTAAATGATACATTCTTAAGTCATCCTTAGCTGAACTGGAGTTAAAGTAGTCTTCTTCCCCTTATCCCGACCATATCTAAGGGTAGCTTGAAAGTGTGTGAAATCTGCTAGGATTGTCACTTATGATCTTGAAGTGATAAAAGTGCTTGCAGTGACTTGAAAAGAGCAACAGAGGCAGGGCTCAGCAACTGGGATGGCAAATTTCATGCTGTTATAGTTTCAGTCAACTCCAGAGAACACTTCAACTAAGCAGTGAGGAAAGGCCTGTAGTTGTGTTAACTAAATCGAAAAAGTCTTTAAAGGCTTATTATTTTGCACTATATGCATTCCTGTGTTAGCTGACCAAGCAGCCAAGCATATATATATATATAGTAGGGAAAACCAAGCAAACCACATCTGAAATTGGAAGAGAATCAAACCTGTGGTTTGCTGATAGGTGCTGAGTCAAAGCATTCTCTAGAAAGATTAAGTACGTTACTACTTTGGGCTTATTTTAAAAGGGAATATTAAGTTTAAATTTGGTGGGTTTTTAATGGGATTTAATGGGATGTTCCAGGGATTTAATATTTAGGAGAGGGGCTGTTATTAATGTATATGTGATTATTTTTGAATCCCTATTTTAAACAATTTCCAGAATGGCTAGACATTCTGAGATGTTAAAAACAAACAAACCTGTATTTTGTTTTAAAATCTCACTGCATGCTTTTGCTTTTTTCAAAACTTTCTTTTAACACACACCAATCTTAACTTTACCTTCCTTTATCAACCTTCCTTCCCTCTTCACAGACCAGTGCAGAAGTATATCATGGCTTTCTGAACATCTGTTAAGAGTCTCAACTTTATTAACCATCAACATGCAATCCTGCCTTCAAGAAACTGATGTAATCTAGAATCAGGAAGGTCTGACTCTCAAAATAAATTGGAATAAGAATAGAAGCTACGTTCTATATTAGAATTCTCCCATGTATGTTCCTGGTATGTGGGAACGTTTCTTCTGGGCACTGACAATGACTGATATTGTCCAAGGTAAAGTTCTTCCCTTCCCACGGGGGGTGGGGGTGGGGCAAAAAATAACTTTCAGCTGACTGAATGATTTATGGTGAGCACTTTGAAATTAGAGAAACTAAAGGAATGGCTCCTCTCTTGTGAGCCTTTTGTCATGTTTCAGTCATGGGGAGAATCCCTGATTTCTTTCCTTCCACCATTCAAGAATGGGGCTATTTCAGTGGTGGCATTAATTTGTCATAAGAGAACTAACTGGTATGTTTTTTTTTCTGACTTTCCAAGGAAATGTCAAAGTGGTGCTGCTCAGACCTGCATTTCCTTGAATCAGACATCACCTATGATGTGAAAAACATTTTGGTGGCCAGAGGCCATGCCTAATTATGGGTAAATGTGGACTCCACCTATGAATTTGGTCTCTTTCCTGTTTTTCTACTGGGGATAGTAACTGCTTGCTTCTTTTCCTATTTAAACTCCCAGCATAAGGTCTTCCTCTGGCACTCTATGTGGAGAAACAGTGTGGTCTGAAGCTCCTGGGCTGAATTAGAGGGTTTTTGTAAGCTTTGAACAGGTATAGGGAATATGTTACTTTCCAGACATTTTGCACTTTGGCTAGAGATGCTGGAAGCTGTACTTCAGCAACATTAGGAGGACTCCAAGTTCCATTGCGTGTTCTATAGATTTTTTGCTCACAAGATAACTTACCAAGCTATTTGAACATAAACTCAGGAAATGAAAAGCCAACCAATATTTTTTTTAAAAATCACATAATTACCCCAGTCCATTATTTATTAGAAAGGGGAAAAACAACAAGAAGAAATTCAGGATAACACCATCTCGTTCTTGAATTTTGATAAACACCACTTAAAAATGAACAGGTAGCTCAATTTTAAAAGCACTTACCCCAGCCAAGCACACCTAAGCCGTTAATCATCGTGGTATGTGAATCGGTACCCACCACACTGTCTGGATAATAGAATCCATTCTGATCAAAGACAACTCTTGCCAGATATTCTAAATTCACCTGATGGACAATCCCTGAGCCTGGAGGAATAATCCTCATGTTTTCGAAGGCTTGAGAGCCCCACTAAAACACAAATGGAAAAGGGGGCAATTTCTTAAGAAGTATCAAAATTAAGAACTAAGTATTTCACTTGCCTAGTCAGAAAACCTTGTTCAATTTATCAGTATTGGGATATGAAGATTAGGTTAATAGAATATTCTGCCCCCCTGGACCAACTACTGAGCCTTTGACATTCTTATTCAGTATTTGTGGTTTCACCAATGTAGGATTCCAGCCTAGACCCCTGTATTTTTTATCTTAAAATTTGACAAAATGTAAAATTAAGATACTGTAGTCAAGCAAACAACCACATTCTAATTGGCTAGCCATTGAGCCAGATGCATAAGCCAGACAGAAATTACAAAATTAACTGTCTAGTTTGGTACATCTGATATTGATGAATAGCCAAGCTAAAATTAAAACATTCTGTCTAACTGGTTGGAGAACATTTGTTAAGTTTACTTCTTTCCCCCACTGTCTGGGTCTTTCTTCTACAAAGTAAACCTTTGCCAACCTCTCTCCTTAGCCACTTCTTCCAGGACAAAAGCAGGTCCACATCTAATTTCCTAACACACAAGGAACTGTGATTCTGTAGACTCCCCTACCTTAATAGGGTTTTCCATGCTTAGCTTTGCACACACAGAGTGGAAGAACTATCATACCTTTAAGAATTCAAATCTTTCCTTGTTTCTCTCAAATTCCAAATCTTGATTCTTCTGTAAACTGTCTGGCCTGTAATGAAAGGTAATAGAGTGAGAAACCTTCAGTAAGATAGAGTGCAGGGTCCAATGTCTGTAAGCTGAAAAAGATAGGGGGGAAGAAATTGGTATTTATTTAGCTAAGCTTCTTGGGGCACTTTAATTGTTTTGTACCAGGGAGTTAGGAGAAAAGCAAAGGAAGAGGGCTTGCAAAGCTTTTGTACTAATTCCTACTGTCTCACAGAATGGCTAATTCCATGTAGGCATATTGGCAGAGGGTAACCTGAATATGCCCCTTCGTGGATCACTGCCTTGTCGTCGCGAAGGGGCTTGCGTAACTCAGTGAAGCCATGAGCTATACCGTGCAGAGCCACCCAAGACGGACAGGTCATGACAGAAAGGGAGAAACATCAATAACCTCAGATATGCAGATGATACCACCCTAATGGCAGAAAGTGAAGAAGAACTAAAGAGCCTCTTGATGAGGGTGAAAGAGGAGAGTGTGAAAGCTGGCTTGAAACTCAACATTAAAAAAACTAAGATGATGGCATCTGGACTCATTCCTGGCAAATAGAAGGGGTAGAAATGGAAGCAATAACAGACTTCATTTATTTGGGCTCCAAGATCACCGCAGATGGAGACTGCAGCCATGACATTAAAAGATGCTTGCTCCTTGGGAGGAAAGCTATGGCAAACCTAGATAGCATGTTC